CGAGGCCTCCCCTTCTCTGATGGAGCGAGATCTGAGTTGTGTGGGCTTCCCGCTTCCGTCGGGCTTCTGAGGCTGCACTTTTCAGCGTTAACTTGAGGAAATTTGGTGGGCAGTGGCCCCTTCCTGGGAGCGAAAGGGTCACCCTCAAAAGCAAAGAAGGTATTTATTCCACTGACCCCGGTTACTAGCAGGACCTCAATGCCCTGATCTAGCAAGCAGCACACCTAAGAGAAGGGACAGAGACGGTCAGACGGAAATGACCCAGACCACCCAAATTCCCCAGAACCATTCTAAGCCTCTGTCCGCTGTCCTGCTCCTAAAAGCGGACTGTCGGCACAGGGGCCCGTGGACCGCCAGCTGGTGGCGGAGCAGCAGGAGGCGTCTGTCACCCGACCCCGAGGGCCACTGAGACTCTTCTCAGGACTCCCCAGTCTCAATCCCACTTGAACAAAGGCTGGAGCTGGCCAGAACTCTGGACCCGGGACTTTGGCTCGTGCCCCTTTGCGACGCTGCGCGCGCGCGCGTGGGTAACGCCTTGTCTTTCTCTCCTTCCCGGTGCTTGGCGTATGCCCCCGCCCGTGACTCTTCTGCGCAGCGGGGTCGCCCTGTCTCGGGCCCACTTCGAGAAGCAGCCTCCTTCCAACCTGAGGAAATCGAACTTCTTCCACTTCGTGCTGGCGCTCTATGACAGGCAGGGGCAGCCTGTGGAGATCGAGCGCACAGCTTTCGTGGACTTTGTGGAGAACGACAAAGTAAGCGAAGCCCACCCCCCCTCTCCCCTTTCCCCGGCCTAATAACTCTCTTCGAAAAGCACTAAAGATTCCATCTGTCACTGGCGACACTTTTCCGCTCATATCATCAGGGATGATAAATTGAGGCTTCTCACCCTGAGCCTCTAAATCACTCCCTTTTCCCGTACCTCCTCTAGCCGCTGCTCCCGCACCCAGCGCTGTAGGGAGCGCCCTCCGCTTCTAGAGCCTGGCCGCCCGGCAAATACCCGTTCAACTAACGCGTGGTTCCGAAAAGTAGACCCAGGGCCGCCCGGCTCTGTTCGGGATTATTTTTTTTAAAAAACATAGTTTGCACCTGCCAGCGCCAGCGGGCCGGGTGGCCACAGCTCCGGTCATTCCGCCTGCCCTGACCAGGCTTCCTTCCCACCCTAGTGCCCTAAAGCAGCGACGGCTCCGACGCTTGGTTTGGGGATTGAATTTGATTTCAATGGAAGGCCCGGGTATGTAAGCCAACATGTGAGCAAGGAAAACCAAACCAAACCAAAAAAACCCTGTCCTCTGCGTCCAACTCTCCTTAGCCGTGCACGCAAACTTTCACGCAGAGCTTCCCAAGGTCCTTTCCGCAGCTCTTCTTGAACTTCGGGACGGTCTGATCGCTGTGCTGGCAGGAGCAGGGCGGAGGCTCCGCTTCCGAATGTCCAATCCCATTCCCTTCTCCGCTTTGCCAGATCGCCTTGGGCTTTGCCAGATCGGACCACCGCTGGGGAGTTTGGGTCGGAGCTGGGTTCAAGGCAGCACCGGAATGGTGCCCGAGGAACCTGGGGAGTCACACTCCGGAGGGTGGTTTTGAGGGGGAAGGACCGACGATTGGGGGGTGTCCAGTGGTCATAAAGCTTAACAAGTTTCTGAGTGTGACCAGCGCCAGGCAGGGGCTCTGTGCCGTGCCCGCAGGGCTGGGTAGGGGACTGTTTAAAGCTGTCTTGGGAGGCGCAGAAAGCTTTTGCGTGACAGGGTGTGAGTCAGCTCATTTTGGGGGACCTGGAACAAGGGGCACCGAAAGTTACATGTCTTTTCAGGAACAAGGCAACGAGAAGACCAACAATGGCACCCACTACAAATTACAGCTCCTGTACAGCAACGGTGAGCGACCCGCTCCCCAAGCACCTGCCGGGAGCGCCTAGGGATTGTCGGTCACCAGCAAGGCTGGCTGGTTCCTGCGGGGCAACCTCGGGGTGGAGCAGAAGAGAAGGGCTGCTAGGGGGACTCAGGCCCCCCGTGGAGGGAGGACGGTGGCCTCAGCCCCTGGGAACACCCAGCCAGTGGTGGCCACCAGGAGAAGCTGCCAGAACCTTAGCTCACATTAGCTACAGGTTTTGGCGGTTGATTCTTGAACCACGACCTTTCTCACAGGCGTCCGCACCGAGCAGGACCTCTACGTGAGGCTCATCGACTCGGTCACCAAGCAGGTGAGCTCCCATCCTCCCTTCCGATGACCCCCTCCCTTAGTCAGTTTCTGCTCTTCCCCTCTGCCGACCCCCACACTCCACCCCTGCGGAGCCCCTAAGAATGCCTGGGCCAGTCTTACCCTTTTCACCGCCCTCCTCCTCCGTGGCAAGCGCACCAGTGTTTACTATGGAAAATGGCATGACCCTTCTCTACCGGACTGCGTGCCTAAAGCCGCGGAGAGGGCCCGCGTCCTGCCCCGACTCAAAACATCCCTTTTGCTAAGAAATACTTTCTCACAAGGGACAAACTTTTCTATTCTTATTTCGCTAAAAATTAAACCGACAACCGCTCAGGTTCGGCGCTGCCGGGAAACTGAGAAGAGAGAGCGGGTAGTGAGATTCCCCACCCACCCCCAGCCAAAAAAAAGAAAACACACTAAAACCCTACTATTGTTTGCGCTAAAGTTCTCTCC